CTCACCAGAGCGCTCTGTCGGTCCCTGACTGGACGCAGAGGGGGCGCGCCACAGATTTGTGGACCCCGAATCCGGGGTCAAAGGGCAGTTTGGCGCCCCTTCTGCGGGGCGAGAGAATGGCAAAATTCCAGCCAAATCCGATTTTACAGGGACTCCTGACCAGGGCCCGTTCAGCCTGGACACTGGGGTCTAAACTTCCTTCTTCAATCCTCCTGGGGGTGAGTGGGTGGGTGACCGAAGTCGGGTACACAAGCGACACTTTTTTTTAAACAAAACTTTATTGGTAATAGTTTTCAAATATGTTTACAACAGCACACTGTTCAAGAGGAAGTCGCGTCCTTCGCAGCACACAGGTTGAATCGCCCCCGCGCCCACCCGGGGCCCCACTCCAGGCCTGAGAGCTCCTCCTGGGTTGGGGAGAAGTTATGAGAGGGACAAATATGGGGGTGAATGGAGTGGCTCCCCAGCGACTCCCCACAGAGCTACTTTTTTGAAAGGAAAAAAAAAGCACATATCTGACATGGGAGGGAGAAAAGGGGTGGTGGACAGCTGACAGCTAAACTAGAGGAGGGAGCTAAACTAGAGGAGGGACACCCACGACTGGGGGTGGGGGTGGAGGCCGCTGGGTGAATAAAACAGGCAGCCCCTCCCAGGCAAGCCTGGCCTTGAACCCGGGGTCAATAGGGTGGGGGGACTTTGCCTCTTTCTTGTTCTCCTGCAGAGTTTGCCATCTCAAGTGAGCTGACAGGGAAGCTAGGCATTAAAAATCTAGCTGAGAATAAAATTAAGGAGTTTGGGGGGATGTTGCCGGAAGGGAGAGACCCTGGGCTTGCGGCTCCCCCTCTATCTTTTGGGGGGGACTCCTCTTTGGCAGGGTGAGGGGCAGCTGCTGTGTCTGGCTCCCGAAGCCCAAGGGTGAAGAAAGGTCTGTTGGGGATGAAGAGGGTAGGGGCTTCCTGAAGGGACTGAGACCCCTCCAGGCTTGGCAGGAGACCCCCGAGTAGGGGACAGAGGTTCAAACCCCAGCTCCTTCTTTTACAAAGTCAGTTTGCTTCCCAGCCTTGTTAAAATGAGTTTTGGGGGATAAGGGGATGTGGAAAGGGGAGTCAGGGGGTAGAGGACAGAGGGAGGGAGGCACTGGTGGAACTTAAATAATATTTTAAATGGTTTTCTTAAAAATTCTAGCAAGCAGCCCACTGAACATGTCACTAAAATCTCTCCTTTCCCTGGCAGGATTGCTCTGGAAGGGAGGCTGGCTTTTCTGCTCATTTGTTCTTAGCTACTGGTGCCTGCAGGTTTTTTTTTTTTTTTTTTTGGTGGGGGGTACTGGAGTTAAGCTTCAGCCCCTCTTTCTACACCCTGTCACTGGATACACCAGCAAGACCTGGTCTGACTAGGGCTGAGAAACTCATTTAAAACAGGCAGAAGTGGGCTAGGGTGGGGGGCCGTGAGGGAGGAGGGAGGGAGAAGCGGTAGAGTGAGCAGGCTGGAGGGCAAGGGAGTGAGGGGGGGCAGCTGGTGTTTCCATCCCTCCAAAAAATCTGCGCTTCCTGCTTCTCCTACCCTGGAGGGTGGGGTGGGGGTGAAATTAGATGCAATGAACTCTGGGGCCCTCTGGCTGTTCAGTTCAACCCTCCCACCCCCCCACCAAAAAAAAAAAAAAAAGGGGAAAGAAAACAAAACAAATTAAAAAAGAACAAGAAAAGCCGTAAAAAAAAAAAAAAAAAAAAGAAAACCCACGGGGCAGAGGCACACCCCTAAAACTCAGCAAACTCCTTGCCACACTTCTCATTGATGGAGACCCGGATCTCTTCCTCCTCATAGTCGTCAAAGTTACTCGTGTCTCCAGGGCCTTTAAACTTTGGTATGAAGGGAGCTTCCACCTGGAGAAGGATCAAGGACCACCCCGATCTCATTAGTCAACATAATCATAATTACAACAATAAATGCGAGTGGCCTAATTTCATAAGATACTCACTCTGACCCAGGCCTGTGCTTAGCATTAGGGTGTGGACCCCTCTTAACAGCCCAGCTCTCCGTGGTGAAATACTGCGTAGACATGGGAGTTTCTGCCCAAGGTCACAGTGACCAGTGAAACCAGAATCCTATTTCTAGACCCCCCCACAATGGCACCAAGCTACCTCCTCTAGACTAACTCTGAGCCTGAAGCCTATTTTCAACTCCTTTCCCCTCTCTGTTGGCCGACCTCCCTTGACTCTTGGCCTCCTGCAACCCCCTCAGCCTGCCTGAGGGGTGGGGGTGGGACCCACCTTCCTCTGGTAGATGGCAATCCAGTCAGTCGTGGCAAACCACTTGTGGTTCTTGATGTCATTGACTCCGTTCTTGAGGTTCCCGAAACGCTTGGTGAGGTCCACCTGCAGGAGGTTCCGCAGTAAATCCTTCAGGTCAGAGCTGAAGTGTGATGGGAACCGCACCTGGAAGAAGTTGGGGCAGAGATTGGGCCGGTCAGGGGTTTCTTTTTTGTTTTGGGGGGGAGCTGGTCTGGAGCTTCAGAGAGCCTAGGACACTGCCTTCTCTATACAACAGTCTTATCTGGTAGAGGCCCTCAGCAGAATCCCGTTAAACAGTTCGTTGGGCCCACCCTGGACGGGCTGATTTAGGAGGGCTGGCTGGAGCCTGAGAATCTGCATTTCTAACAATTTCCTTGGTGATGTTGATCCTGCTGGAGGGTGAACCACTTTGACAACCACTGCTCTAAGGCAAGTGCTACAATGGCTCCCATTTTATAGATGAGGAAACTGAGGCTCAGAAGGGCTAAACAGCTTGCCCAAGGTCACACAGAAGAACAGGAAAGGGCGTTTCCATCACAAGCCTGTTGGATTCCAGAACTTGCATTCCTGGCCGCTGCTTCCTAAGCAGCCTTGCTGAAGTCTGGGGGCTTCTGAAATATAAACATTTATGAGAAAAATGATATTTTCTCTCTCGCTCTTCCATTCTTTAGGGCCCAGGTCAACTCTGTTCCAGAAACTTTCCTCAATGCTCTGAGCCTACAGCCTTGCATCTGCGTAGAGAGGTCACTGGATTTACAGCCACAAAAACCAACTTCAAGTCCATGCTCTGCCTCTTACACACTGTGTGACCTTGGACATGGCCCTTAACCTCTCTGGGCCTGTGTCTGCTTCTATGACATGGGGCAGATAGCCCAGGGTTTCTGAGGCATTGGGAGGCATGGGAGAGATAATACAGCTGAACGGGTGTAGGAACCACGAAATGCTACAAAGAAGGGAGTCATGGTCATCTCTTCCACCTTGGAACCTTCTGTGCCCCACCTCCCCAGGCTATTTTTCTTGGTGATTTCTATTCTGCCTTATGGCAGACACCTTATCTTTCCCTTCTAGTGACTTTCACTATGTGTCCAGCACAGTGCACCCGACTTGGCAGTTGGCGACTTCTCCCAACCACCCTGAGAGGCAGGTGCCTGACTGATCTTTTCTCAGATGGGGACAGTGAGGCTCAGAGGGGGCTGAACCACTTGCCTAAGGTTTCACAGCCAATAAGTAGCAGAGCTGGGACTTGAAGCCAGGCCTGCCCACCCAGATGGAGCTCAGAGCTGCTCCCACCATTTTGAGGTGACTCAGCCAACAAGCAGCTCCCATGTATAAGATGCTGTGCCAGGTAGGAGGTGAGCCAAGGGCAGAGGGGGGCCCCCAGCCTCTCTTGGGTGCGTAATGCCTATGACAGTGTCTCCATTTCCTTGCCATGGTGTGATCTCAGGCAAGACACACCCCCTCAGTGAGCCTCAACTTCCTCCCCTCTCATATGGGGCACCACTCCCACAGAGCAAGGGGCTGAAGACTGAAGGGGATCATCTGGTGCCACTTAACGCATTTCCCAAATGCAAGCCCTTACAGTTCCTCCATCCCTTATCCGAAACCTCAGGGTCAGGCAGTCTGCATTTGGGCAAGGAAATGTGGACCATTTACCACAACAGACGGGGGCTAGGGCGGCACCTGGGAGCCAGACACATTCGTTTTCCAGCCGGGAAACTTATGAAAAGGCACACTATGAGGGACAACTACAGACCAGAAGAGCACAGGTCAGGCAAAGCAGGGCAGGTTCTGGGCCAAACAGCTTGATGAAACTCAGGGTTTGGAAGCCCTTGGGATTCCAGCCCCATGGGCTGGGGGCTGGACAGAGAGGCTGTGCTAGGTGTCAGCCTTGACCACCTGGCCCAGCTGAAACAACTTCTAGACTGTTCCAACAATGAGCAGACACTCCATGGGGAGGAGTACAGGCTGGGTAGGGAGAGGGCCACCATCGGGGTGGAGGGGTAGGGGGCCGAATGCCCACATCCGGCCTCACCTTCCCAGAGACGATCTTCTCGTAGATCTGGATGGGCTGGTCAGCGAAGAAAGGCGGGTAGCCGGCTGCCATCTCATAGATGAGGACCCCCAGGGCCCACCAGTCCACAGCCTTGTTATAGCCCTGGGGCGAGAGGTGGCAGGGGGTAAGGGGAGGAGGCCACAAGGGGTATGAGCAGAGAGGGGTGAGGGTGGGGTGCTGGGGAAGCACCTACTTTGCTTAGGATAATCTCAGGGGCCAGGTACTCGGGGGTCCCACACAATGTCCAGGTGCGGCCTTTGACACGCTTGGCAAAACCGAAGTCTGTCACCTGCAGGCATGAGAACGGGCAGTTGGTGGGGAGGGAGGGTGCAGGCCATGGCTGCCTGGTGCTGCCCTCACCCAGCCCAGTGGGCACCTGAATGTAGCCTTGTTGGTCAATGAGGAGGTTCTCCGGCTTCAGGTCCCGGTAGATGAGATCGAGTGAGTGCAGGTACTCGAAGGTCAGGACGATCTGGGCTGCGTAGAAGCGGGCATGGGGCTCGCTGGCGGGACAAGCAGGAGGGGATAGGTAAGTGCCAGTGGGCACAGCCAGCCAGCACCTGTCTATCCACAGCCGTCCAGCAGCAGGTGCGCTGGCACAGCCACCCCCAACATGCCCAGTTCAGCGATGGAAAATGCATAAACTGCCCCCTCAAGTTGTGATGTCTACATCACCGTTTTGTTTTGTTGTGGTTGAAACATGGCAGATGCCTCATCACAGCGGAAACAAAAACCCACGGAGACCTGGAGCGGCCACAGCCACATCCAACTTGGCTGGGCACCTGTGCGCCCCTAATGGTCTGGTCATGCCACTGTCCTGTGGCCTGCGTCAGCCGGGTGAGGCGGGGGCCTGGTGGGACTGGGGTAGCCGCTCACCTGAATCTTCCGATCCTCCGTAGGTGTGAGAACATCTCCCCACCGGGCACGTACTCCATGACCATGTATAAGTTGGAGTTGTCCTGTGGGAAGCAGTGGCTGATCAGAGCCCCATGAGTGCTCAGAAATAAAATAAGGATCTCTACACTGGCTCCCATGTATGAAGCACACGCCAGGTGCAAGGTGCTCCCTCAATGGGAGACACGTCTCATTTCATTTGCCTGTGAGAAAAGGGGGCAGCTGTGACCCTGCCATTACCAGGGGAGAGATTGAGGGTCACAAAGAGGTGGGCAGGTGACCCGGCCAAGTGCCCCAGCTGGAGAGAGGAATGTGTCCGGGACTGTCTCAAGCAAGGCTCTCGAGGACAGTTTTGTCATCTGTAAAACGGGACCAGGATTTGCAGAGCCCAAAATAAAAATGCAGGGCTCCTTGTAAAACAATTATTAGGACTCTTGAGATGGCGGCAGCAGCATATTAGACCAAGTGTGGGGCGCTTGTGGGCACAGGGCCCTTGTGACTGCACAGCCACAAGCTGCCTGTGACGCCGGCCCCGAGTGGCCTTTCCCAGCTCTAGCAGCCATGGCTTAGCATGCCACCTAAAATAGCTCATGCAGGGCATTCACGACAGCCCCACCAGGTGGGGACTGCTATGATGCTTATTTACAGGTGAGGAAACCGAGGCTTAAGGCAGTGACGTTCCTTGACCAGAGTCACATGGCCGGGAGTGCGAAGCCAGGATTTGAACCCCGGCCGTCTGGCTGCAGAGTCCATACTCCTGGCCGCATGTTAGATTCTTGCTGTAAATGGCGTGGTGATTCTGAGGGATGCTACCAAGGTTATTAAGCTAGAACATGGCAGGCCCAGGAATTGAACTTGGGTCTAGTAGAGCCCCAATCTGACTCCTGGCCCCCAGCACTCCTCCTTCAGGGGTCTCATTCTTCCCCTTCCTAACTTCCTGGACAGTCCTCAGTTGTCCTTGGCTCCAGCCCCGACTCTGGGAACTGAGAGGCTGCACCCAGCCATGCCAAACAGCTCCCCTCCCCCAGTGTGGTTTCCCTCTCCACTCTCCCCCTAGCCCCCCAATGCCTGGGACCCCACTGCAGTGATCCTGAATATGCTGCTGTGGAGCCACACCTTGAAGGAGAACTCAAGTTTGACGAGGAACGGAAAGCTGACCGCTTGCAGGATGCGCTTTTCATTCAGGGTGTGCTCGATCTGTTTCAGCTTCACCACCTGTGGGGCAGGAGGGGGAGGACAGGGAGGAGGGAGAATGAGGGGGTGTCCGGGCCACGCCAGTGCCTTCAGCTGAAATTGTCTGAGGGCCTGCTGTCCATCGGGCACTGGGCTGGGCGCTGAAGACAGGCAAGAAGGCAAGGGCTCCCCGTCTTCAAACGGCAGGATACATGAGTCACCGAGCCTCAGCCCAGAGGGGCCTGTGGAAGCCCAGATAAGGAGCCTGGCCCAGAGTTGGGGGTGGGAGCGGTGGTCAGAGAAGGCTTCCTGGAGGAAGGGGCACAGGAGAAGCCCAAGGGGGGGGGGTGTTTATAACAGCCTCCCTTGGGTCTAGAGCACCCCAAGCACCCACTGGGACCTTGGGCTAATTCCTCCTCAGCCTTCAGCTAGCTCCTAACAGCATACAGCACAAGACTGCCGCCTCACACGTACTTACTCATAGGAAGTCCCAGGAGCCCTATGAAGGGTGCACTATGAACACGCTAGGGTGGAAGCCCAGACACAGAGAAGTGAAGCGACTTGCCCAAGGTCATGCTGCCGGTCAACAGCAGGTTGGCGCTGCACAGGACAGCCTGACCCCTCACAACCCTGAACCACTGTGCTGTGGGTTTTTTCACCGCTTTCCTCACTGTCTGCATCTGCACTGCCCACTAGTCACCATAAGCCACATGTGGCCACTAAGCACTTGAAATGTGGCTGGCCCGAGTGAGCAAATGAATTTACCTAAGTATTTGAAACTAAAATTCAAAAATGGACACTCGATTTAGTTATTAGAAAACTTTCAAACATGTCTGGGACAACCTGGGCTTGTGAATCTACTTGTTCAGGCCTTTCTGATGAAAGTTTACCGTCTGAGTGGAGACGTGTTATAAATATAAAATACTTGCTGGATTTCAAAGACAAAGTATGAAAAAAGGAATGTAAAATATCTCAGTAAAGATATTTTTACACAGATCACAGGTTGAAATAAGATTTTAGATGTATTGGCTTAATTAAGACATATTGTTAAAAATCAATTTCACTGGTTCCTGTTACTTCTTTTTAATGGCACTAGAACGTTTATCCTTTCTAAAGTTGAAATCACACGCGTGGCTTGCATTGCATTTCTCCTGGACAGCGCTGGTCTAGAGATTGCCTGGCATACGGCAGGGTCTCAAAAATATTTGCAGTAAGAATCAATGTGGCTGTAAATGCCCCCTTCCCCCAGGAAGACTCCTAATACTGACTTGGTGTTTGGTGTCCTGCCTCTGGGCCCTAGCTGGGCACTTTCTCACCCTGTGTCACAGGGCCTGGTTTCACATGGGTCATTGGCCTGGACAGGAAGCTGTGTGAGGGCAGCATCACCCCTTCTGGTCCTCAGGCCTGCAGCATTACAGGGGCTCAGGAAAGAATGGGCGAGTGAGAGGCAGAAAGATCACTGCGGGTGGTGGGAACAGCCTGGGCAAAGGCCTGGCAACCGGCTTACCTTCTGTTTGTCGAGGATCTTCATGGCATAGTGGTTCCCAATATCTTTGTGCCTCACCAGCATCACCCGCCCAAAGGAGCCCGTGCCAAGGGTCTTGATTCGTTCAAACTGATCCAGGTGGGCTGTATTCTGTGGGAGGAGGGATTGGGAGGGTCAAGGACCCCCAGCCCTGAGCCCTGCCCAGGGATGAGCATCCCCTCTGCCACCGGCAGAGGGGGCCCCAGGGAGTGGGCAGCCTGAGGGGGGTGAGGACAGGGGGCAGAACAAGAAGATGGCGGAGGGCGCATTCCTCAAGGCGGATGGCAGGGGCCAGATCCGGCCCTGGCCTGGGGCCCAGGAGCTGCTGGCAGCTGCGCGGGGGGCAGGGGCCGCTAGTCAGGAAGGGGCAGCAGGCTGAGGGAGCCTGGCTGTGGGCAATCGGGTGCTTGTGCCTGGGAGCCTCTGTGGGGTGTAAAGAACCCTCCCTGGGGACCCTGAAGCTCTAGCCTTGCTGCAGGGATGCAGCCAGGGGGCCGTGGCCCATCAGCTCACCCCTCCCAGGCTTCTGCACTGCGGGCTTACCTGGGCGGGATTTTCCCATTTTTTAAGAAAATCTTCTTTGGCTTTTGCTAAGAACTCTTTCACTGAAACAAAGAGAGAGGAGGGTTAGATGGAGACCCCACCTAGTCAGGGCAGGCCCAGGCTATTTCTGGGAAGATGCCCATTTGTGGAAAGTAGGGTACAGTCAACTTGCCCAGAGCCTGACTTTTCCCCATTGCCTTCGGGGTGCCCTGGCTGAGCCTGTGGGCAGCTTGGGGAGGCCCTGATCTGGGCTGGGGCCTGGGCTCCACACCCCCACTACAGGAAGGTAGGATCTGGCCTGAGTTCCATCCAAGAAAGGGGTACAAGGCAACTCGGGGGTTACACCAGGGGGATAGAGAGTAGCCGCCAGGCTAGCCTACCCCCACTCGCCCCAGTTTTGAACGACATTCCACGGCCAGGGAAGACGCCAGCCGAGGTATTTATAGCCTAGGGATTTGGCTGCTCCTCCAGCCCCTTCTCTGGGGAGGCTGGGCCTGGGGTAGAGGCCTCTGGGGCTCCGGTAGCAGGCGCCCTTGGGGGGGCACAGCTAGCAGGCACCCTTGGGCGACTCAGCTGTCACCCTGGCTCTCAGCAGTCATTTGCCAATAGCAGGGCCCTTGACTCAGAGTTGGTTCAAGGAAAGCCAACTCCACAAAGCCTTGTCCGATACCTGCCCCCAGGGGCCCCACAGCACCCCAAGGTGAACATCACCCTCCCGTTAACCTTGGAGACTTCCCTTGTAGGTCCTGGCTGGCTGCCTCATCTACACTATATCGTTTGATTTGCCCGCCAACCTTTTATCCACTCTCCCCACTTGACAAGCCAGGAAACTGAGGCTTGAAAGCAGCTGTTCTAGCCAACTGTGAGGCAGCCCAGCAAAGCAGGTAAGGGCCAGGACTCTGGGATCGTGTCCACATCCCGGCCTGGTCCCTGATGAGCTGTGAGACTTTAGACAACTGACCTCACCTTTCTGGGCTTCAGTTTTCCTCATCTGTAAAATGGGGACAATAATAGGAATGACCTCGAAGAGTGGCTGTGAGAATTAAATGAGTTCATCTTTGTAGAAAGTAAACCCTGTTGGCATAGTGGTTAAGAGTTTGGCTGCTAACCAAAAGCCAAAAGGATGGAAGTTTGAATCCACCAGGTGCTCCTTGGAAACCCTATGGGGCAGTTCTACTCTGTCCTGTAGGGTCGCTATGAGTCGGAATTGACTCAACAACAATGGGTTTGGTTTTTGTTTTGTTTTGTTTTGTAGAGAGGACTGAATGGTGGCCGGCACAGATTAGTGCTATAGAAATGTTCACTATTAAGTTTACTTTTAAGTGTTTTTTAAAATTAAGGTATAAAATACATACGGAGGTGGACCAAATGCTCAGACCTCAAATATACAGCCTGATAGGGTCTTATGTTACAGATAGGTCTGTGTAACCACCGCCAGTTCCTTGATCTTGTGCTGCGGGCTTTCTATGCTATTTCTAAGCCTGCTGGGTAGAAGCTGCTATTATTCCCATTGTACAGATGAGAAGACTGAGACTCCGAGAGGAGAGCCAGATGCTGAGTCACTGGGCCTGAACCTGCTGCCCAAGAGACTAACTGAGTCACTACCCACTCGGTGGTTACAGCGCTGGTCACAGTGCATCAGGGATGCTGTGGGCAGAGCTGCCCTCAACTCCCGATGTTTTGGGGACCATTTCTACACCAGCTCTGCACACCTACACTTTGGCCCTGCTTGTTGTCTGTCTGTCCCTACCTGTATGCAGTGCCAGGAAACCCTCACAGCCACCGGTCCCTGCACTGCCCTCAAGGCTCTCCCTCAGCATTCCCTAGCCCCCACCACGGGGCTAGGAGAATGGCAGATGCAGGAGACACTGCTGGCCAGGAGAACCCTGCAGAGTGACCTGGGCACAAAGGAGGCAGGTACTGAGAGGCCAGGAGCCCCAGGCTGGCACCTGGCAGGGCCACCAACTGGCCAAGAGACCTCTCTGTGCCTGGGGACTGAACCCCTCCAACGCTTTCACTAGCAAAGCCTTTTCAACACACGCCACCTTTCTCAGAAACCCCCAAACGGACCCACACCAAATTCTGAATGAAAGTGTGGGGAGAAGGTACCCTCTTGGGACTCAACTTTCCACCCAAACAAGAAGGAAGAGAGGAGTGGGCTTGAGAGGAAACCAAGAGAATGCCTAGTCCTGCTTCCTCCCTTGTTCTCCAAATGCTCCTAGCTCAGTGGGTGTGAGCCCTGGCTATCTGCTGTCACCCCACTGAGGGGCTTCAAAGGGCCCTTGCCCCTAGCAAGGCTCTTCTCTGGCCTCTCAAAGCACCTAAGGGCCTAGGCTATGTCATCTCTGACATCTATGACAAATCTGACTTGCCAGATTTGAGGGAGGGGTGGAGGGGAGGGAAAGACAGTGCCAAGAAGAGCAGGCAGATAAAAGAGGGATAATTGGGGGGGGCAGCCTGGAACCCCCCCACTCACCTCTGCTTCCTGCCTCTTCTAGCAAAGGGTGGATGGGGGTGGGATGGGGTCATTTGGGGCCCATCTGCTCCTGGCCAGGGAGGATCAGGATGCTGGCTGTGGCTTGGGCCCCCAGAGGGCTTGGCGGAGGTAGCCCAGGAAACGGACTGCCAGGTGGGCCCAGAGAAGAAGCTGCAGCCACAGCTGGAAGGTAGTCTCTGAGTCCCCACCCTGGCCGCTGCCTGACCCCAGATCCATCCCAGCCACCCTGGGCTCTCCCTGGAATCTTCCTTTTGCAGGGGAACAGGAAAACCAGAGCCTTGGAGTCTGTTCCTCGGGAGGGCCTCAGGGACGACAGAGGAGGAACTGGTTGCCACGGAAGCATTTAAAGGTAACTGCTCCTGGCTGGCCAAGGTCTGCAGAGTTCCTCCTTGGCAGGAGGCAATGGGAAGATTCTCCTGAGAGTATCCCTCTTGGCTGGCCTGCCTGCCCCAGGGCAGGATGCTAAAGCTAACTTCTCGTTCCAGGGACTTCATCGCTCCTAAGATGCCAGGCCCTGCCTTCCTCAGTGGGTGTTGGACTACCCGGAGGATGGCGCCTGATGTGCCCAGAGCAGTGCCCACTGGGGAGAGGAGGAGTTAAAGCCCAGGCAGCAGCCAGAGACGCCCCGGGGGTTAAAGAGGCCCCAGAGCTTCATTAATTAAGCTGAAAAAACAGCTGGAGAGAGAGAGGGGGCGCAAGAGCCACCTTCATCCATCTCCTCCTCGAGTTCCCTTTGAACCAGGAGCCCCCAAATCATGCTGCTCTGAGAGAGAAATGGGTACATCTGGCTCTTTGTCTTGATCCTCTGTGGGGGTGGAGAGGGGAAAGGCATCCTGGGATGTCCTTGGCCTCTGTCAAACCTTGCCCTGCGCTTGGCTCTGCTCTCAGCCATGAAAGTCCAAACCGGAAACGAAAGGCTAAACCCAGGGATGGGGGAGGGGAAGGCAGCCTTGATCATCTTCCTTCTTTCTTCCAGATCCCAAAAGGAGCCGAGGGTCAGTGGCAACCTCTCAAGGAGTGCCTGGCACTCATGGTCCCTGATGGAAACAGGAAGTAGCAGAGAAGGGAAACCCAGCCTGCCCTGCCCCACGCCCAACCTCCACCCTGGTCCTGATTCTATTTGGGCTCACAGAGAAAACCCCAAACACCCCTAGAAAAGCCAGGGACACAGCAGGAGGCAGAAATCTAGAAATTCCCCTGGGAATGGGGAATTGCAGAAGCAGGATGCCAAAGCGTGTAAGGAAAGAGCCCAGGCTCACATCCCCCAGACAATAATCTCAGGACTCTCTGCCCTCTGAAATCTGGCTGTCCTGGAAATTCGGGGGCAGGGATGCCCAGCCTGGGAGCCTTAGAACTCAGGCTGGCTGATTCCTCAGTCTAACCTGGAACCCCTGCTTTGGGCTGGACCACCCGAGTCTGAGCTGGACCCCAACACTGGACTGGATCCCAGTCGGAGCTAAACCTTAGCACTGGACTAGACCAACCCCTATTCTGAGCTGAACTCTAACACTGGACAGTACTAACCCCCATTCTGAGATGGACCCCAACAATGGCTGGACTAGACCATTCTCCCGTCTGAGCTGGACCCCGACTCCGGGTAGACTATCCCTCACTTGTCTGAACTGGGCCCCGCATAGTATCCCCTGTTCTCCCCAGGCCCCACAGCCGAGAGTTGTGAGCACGAGAGGAGTTTCCAGGGTGAGCCAGCAGGGTGAGCCAGGAGTCCACTGACTCCTCCTCTCTGCCTGCTCCCCAGGTCCTACTGTTGCCCTTCCCTGGCTTGGGGGGCAGGGAGTGCCTGGGTGGTTGCTATAGTAACAGGGCTCAGCCTCACCATCCGTGGGGTTGGAAGCCATCACTCAGTCTTTCTCTCAGGGCACCCGGACTACGGTGGCTGGAAAGGCTCATGAGACCTACCGCCCCAGCTCTGCCACCTACCCCAGAGCCCTGTCTATAGGGGGAGCCAGGGAGTTGTGGGGTGCGAATAGGAAGAAAAACCCAACCAGAGGCCAGTGGAGCAAGGGAGGGGAAAACAGTTCCCTTGGGGCTACTGTAGCCCGGAATGGGCTAAGGGAAAAATCTGCCTTGGGAGGACCCTCTTGGGCACCCATACAACTGCCAACGCACAGGAGGTGTTTGACCCTCTTGCGCTTCTGTAGGCTGTTAGAAGCCGATAGTTGTTTCCATCCACGGACCTCTTGGGGGCGCTTTTTTACTCTCAGTGCCTGTATCGGTTCTCTCTGAGGCTTGGGGAGTATCTGGGGGGGGGGGTCTTCTCCTCGCTAACTCCGCCCCTTCCCCTGTGGCCAACTCCCAGGGGTGTCCTCTGCCAGTGCTAGCCCCGAGGTTGCTGCCCTATCTCAATTCCTCCAGCCTAGCCAGAGCCTGAGAGTTCGGTCGTTTTTCTCTGCCCTCCTGGCCCCTGCCAATGGTTTAGCATCTTTGGGTGCAGATTCCCCACCACCACCCCAAGGCTCATTCTAGATCGCCGGATGAGGCAGACCCTGTTCTGTTCCTGGCATAGAGATGAGGGTTGAGGGGGCTGTGGGATACTTAACTGGTACCTAGTGAGGGTCGGGCATTTTCCCTACCCAAGTCGGGCCGGCGTGTGGCAGATGAAATTCAGGTGCCCCCTGCAGGCTGGCCTAGCTACTGCCCCTGC